CCCCGAGTACTTCTTGCCCTAATCCCCTTCTCGGAGCGCTGTGACAGGTCAGGATGGGGCCGCGTGCCCTGCGAGGCAGGCTAAGTGCTCGCAGGCTGGCAGCAAGGCCTTTAGAGATGATCTGTGGAAGTCGGGACCGGGGCAGGCAGACACAGAAAGATGCTCTCTGAATAAAACTGCAAGAGGTTAACAGCTAGCTCTAATAAATTCAGGCATTCCGCTAAACATCTTAATCCTAGAATAGGCAAAAAAGTCTTTTTATGGAAACAAAAATTGTATTACCAAATTAACTGCTTAACAGAGCTGTTACTTTGCTGTTGCTCAGTACGTTTCCTTCTCCTCTGTGCCACAGAGTGTCAGCTTGGCCTGACAGGAGCCCAAGAAGCTGTGAGCTCCCCTGTGCCCTTCTCCGTACGGGTTCAAATCTGCAGCTAACGGCCCTTCCAAGCTGATGCACATGCAGCTGAGCTGTCATAAGAGGTTAGAAAACCCAGATCAAAACACCGTGCATCTCAGCACAGGGCCCAGCCAGAAAGGTGGCAGGTTGGGAAGGGAGCACCCAGGGAACCTGGGGCAGCAGCAGGGTGCAGGTGCCTGCCCAGCCAGGGAGTTCCTGTTCAACCCCAAACGTCCAGACCTCCCCGTAACAATTTTTCCCCAAAAAAATTTCTTCAGAAGCTGTATAACTGCACTTGAAGTGGTTTGATTTAAAAAAAACCTCCAAGCAAACAAATTCCCACAAGTTAATATGAGACCGTTAATTACTCAGCTGCAAGTTATGTGATGGGGAAGAATCTGCACAGTAACAGGTCTGGAAGGAGACGCAATCAAAACCAAACAAAGCCAGTATTGTTCAGCAATTTAATTTATTTCATTATCTCAAAACAAAACAAAATATATAAATTACTATCCTACCTGTGGGGAAGGCTCTGCCTCAAAGATTTCTAAGAAAATCTGAAGAACCCAGTAATCCAACTGCTTAACTCCAAGGAATTTAAGGGACCATTTTAATATCCCATTACAGAGCAGAGCTTTCAGTAGTAATCAGTGTTTGTGTGCAGCATGAAAAAAGTATCTATTTACAAATACCATTCACTTTTATAATTTCTAACTCTCACCCCTTCAAAGCAGCTTTTTTTCCTCAGGCAGAATTCTTGGGACTCTGCTTTAGAATTAAATCCCTGCTACCTACAAATTTACACCAGAGGCACTGGAATAAATGAAATAACAGCAAGACTAAAATTTTGGGTTTACAATGAGCTTACCTAGATCTCAGACTTCTCTGTCATGAAACCTGACTCAACTCAAAACCAAGCTCTCAAGAAAACCAAATCAACACAGAACAGCAGCAATTTTCAGCAGACCAGTGAGGTGCATCCGAAAAACGGCTCGTATCCCAACGGGGGGTGCAAGATGAAACTGCAGATGTGGGTTCCTATCACCCCACAGCCCACCTCACCCATGAGTGATGCCAACAGGCACGGCCTTGCCTCCTGCCACCTAAAGCCAGGGGCCTGGAGCAGCCCTCGCAGCGGGGCGGCCGCGGGACGAAGTGGGGCAGGGCGCTGGTTCTGCCCCTGCACAACTCGCAGCTCTCCCACGGGTACATGAGTTTCCCAAGGGGCAGCCTGCACTCAGAGACGATTAATTATGCTCCAAGTGGAGCGCTAAGGTTCAGGAATTTAGGAAAAGTAGATTTCCACTTAAGCTGATCTCTTCAGACCTCAGACGCAAGCCTGCCACCGCTAAGCACTTGTCTGAAAGCACCGTGTCGTCAGCAGCGCCCAGAGTGGGTGGCTTCCAGCCCTCCCGCCCTCAGAGCCCCGTCCCTCTCTCTCCCACATGCTGTTCTGTACCCTTAGCAAAAACCCTGTATTTTCCCAGTTCCAGTTTATCATTCACGAAGTGAGTGTTACTGAGAACAAAGGCTGGAAGCCCTCCACGCTAAGACAGCATGTGTAACTGTAGACGATCATGGGCTGTTACACTTTCTGCAGGGACAGTTCAGGTGCTGCTGGGGCACTCAGGATTGCTGATTTTTAACACACAGTGTACGACCTCCTGGGACAGACTAAACAAGTCCCTCTGTCCTCCCAGAGAGAAGAGAGTTCCAGGCTCACCCGTTCCTCCCGCCCTTCGGCGAGGATGACCACGATCCGGCCCTGCCGCCTGCGCCCCGTCCGGCCCATCCTCTGCACAAGGCGAATGGGACTTTTCTGGGCATCGAAGCAGATGATGAGATCAACCTCCCCAATGTCTAATCCTTCCTCCCCGACGCAGGTAGAGACCAGAGTGTTATAGCCGCCCTCACGAAAGCGTTTCACCACCTGAATAAACAATTGAAGTTAGGTGTAACAGGTTAGCCAGAGAGCCCTCATCCAGCCTTTGCAGTTCTAGGTTCAGACAGAAGTTGAAAAAATTAAATTTGTATGTTAAAAGTGCAAAACGTAGTCTTTCTGAATTTGTCAACTATTACCTCATGATCAAACACTATGTACTGATGTTATCAACACTGACATATCAACCCTTCAATTCTAAAATAAAGGGGGGAGGGGGAAATTCACACCTTATTCTGATCCAGCCATGGCATTCTTCTAAAATTGATCTTCCCAACTTTACAATTAAATATTGTTTTGTGGTTTGTTTGGTAGGTTTTTTTAAAAAAAACTTTGCTAGATCAACATTTAAGGATATATCTTATGTTTTCTAACTACAAGAAAAAAAAAAAAGCCAAAGCAACCCTAAGCAAATATTTTGAGTATTTTCACAGATTTTCAAATATATAAAAGTTAGCAGTTGACAGTATAATGGAAATATATAAAATATTTCTACTTACACATTCTGCTCAGTGAGTATAATTTTAGATACTTTGAAAGCAATTGAATTACACAGGAATTTACTGATGACACTTTAAAGCTCAGTCACTGCCATGCAACCTACATCACTACTCAGTAGTTATTTACACAGTTGATACTCTACATCACTATTTCCTAACACGAGTCACATCTTGTCTTTACCTCAAGTTGTTCCTTTTGTGTGAAGCCTTTCGTGCTCTTTCCTGCAGAGTGGCCAACAAATGTCATTACTCTAACAACTGGGCTGAGGCGGGAAAGCATTTCTGCAATTTCTTGCACGCTATCTCGAAACGATGAGAAGACCATCACCCTGGTATCCACAGCATCCACGGATGTGCTCCCGGTTGTGACTTGATCTGCTCAATTTGAAAAAGCCAGAAAAGCACTTTTATTGTCAATAGAAAAGCAAGGACAGGTACATCCCACAAGTTACACATTCACAGCTCTCATCTCACTTAATGGGAAGATTTTGTCTAAGTATACTCCATTTTTTTTCAAATAAATTTCATTTAAAATAAATTTAATTTATTGATTTATTATTTTTTATAAATCATAAAATACAAATTAATAAAAATAATTTATTAATTTTTAAAAATCTAAGTAAATAAATAAATAAAAAACCCCAAACAGTAGAGAAAACTGACAATTAGGAGCCTCAGCCTATTTAGACCAACCTCCCAGAAAATGCTCTGCAATACACCTGCTCAAACAATTCCTCTTTAACATCAAAGCAATATTCTAATTTTAGAGAATTTACACCAACCACGGTGAGAATGTCTTATATCTGAGGTACCACCAAAGCTCAGGTTTGATGGCAAGTCTCTTGAAATAAAATTTCAAATATTTTCTTCCAAAAAGGCCACAATGTGACTTCTAAATCTGGTACTTCGATGCCCAGTCTGATGAGGCTGGCAATATATAGTGGTAAAAACCTGTTGCCATTGGTCTAGGATACATCATGGTGAAGTAAGAGACGTGTATCAGCTTTCTATGATTCACCACAGAAAGTCATCTCCAGTTCCACAGCTTAGGATTCTCACGACAGCAGAAATGGGAAAAAGCCTCCCTTAATATCGTAACCTGTTGCTTCTACGCGATCTGTGGTCACAACTGATTATAGCTCTCCTTTCAGTAGCAAAGGTAACTTTTCAAAGGAAAGGGAAAAATAATTCCATTGCTACATGGTTTCTTAGCAAGGTTCCTTTCACCAAAAAAACATTTCTTATGTTATACCATCACAGATTTTGTGTTCCAGCTACTCAACTTTTTTTTTTTCCCTTCTTTTTTTTAAACATTTAAGGGTATCTGCCTTCACGAGCACAAGCCAAAGCTACCTAAGCAACACCCAAGTCTTGAACAGTTTCTATCCTGTCCAAATACTAAACCAACATGCCCATTACTGTCTGCTAAGAAGTAAAAACCCAGTGTGTTAAGAAGAGAATCTCTAACAGGACATAACGAATTACCAAAACCGGCAGAGCTTGCACGCATTACCCAGCCACAGCCCTCAGATGCAACCAAACAGATTTCCAAGGGTTAAAGATCTTCTCTTTTACACAACTCTCCACAAAACACCTTTATCTCATTAAAAGTAAGGTTAGACAAGGAATTAAAATTCTCAAGACTAAGTGTGTGAAAAGATGTTTCCCCAAACACACGAAGGATGGACACCAGATTCATGCTATGCCTGTAATCCCAGTATCAAGCTGTTTTTTGAAGTTAAAGCATTACATGTAACAGGTAAGTACGCATTTCTTTCTGATCAGCTATCAGAAATTCTGGTTTAGTTTTCAGTTGTACATATCTACATGCAGAAATGCTCTCAGCAGCTTCAGTCAAAAAGGAGAAGTTGAAGCTAACCATTTTCCCCATTTCTTTTTAAGATGAGCCTTGAATTCACAGGTACCTCTGGCCAAACAAATTTCACTCTCAAGGCTGACAACCAAGGAGCTTAGACAAGAGGATCTCCAGGGGTCCCTTCCAACTACTCCAAATTATTCTATGATATCCTAGTGCAGCGTGTCATTGCAGGTGATACGGGAGGTCATCTGTCAAGCACAGAAACCAGTCCCCAGCGAAGGCCTAGAAGTGAAACGGTGACTACAATTCAGTATTTTTAGCTAGAAACCAGACAGTTGCCACACTGACATTATGTGTTCTACGTAATCGTCCACCCTGCGCAGACTGACAAGCTATATATATTCCAGAAGAGGTGCAGGCTGGAGAAATCTTATTTACCTGAGTTCATATTATTCTCCTCCAGTAACTTTATTCCGAACAACGTTATTCTATATCTATTTTTAGCACGTTCTCGACTTGAACAGCAACGATGCTCAGTAGCATCTGTCCCCGTATTGTAAAAAATGTGACACTGCTGCCATTACCTCCTTGACCTGATCCAAAACCAGTTAGAAAATTCAAGACGTTAGCAGCCCACAATCCACCTGAGAAGCAATCCAGGTATGGAAGACTGGCTGGGAAGAGCTCATCATGCTGAGCCAACGTGTCTTAAGGGCTGGCCAGAACATTATCTCGCCCTGACCTCAATCACTGGTAAGTGCATCTGGCACAGCAAGGGCTGTGGCTATGTGGTCAGGAAGCTCAGACTTCACCCACTTGGTCACTAGTTAGCACGACTCCCACCAGTTCTCACGGGAGAGCTTTCACTCCAAATGGGAGGAGAAAGAGCTAGCGCTGCTCCGGAGGTTAATAATGCTCTCCTTGTCTGTCTCTAATGTAGGGCTTTTCAGGGAAAATGCTCTGCAGAAGAAGTTATTCATTTTAAAAATTACACAGCCATGGACACAATAAATTATGATTCAGAATCATTCAGTAATGCACAATTGGAAGAAAGCAGAGTTAAGTTCAGGGTTTTGTTTGCTTCTGGCTTTTTCCCCCTAGAGATACCACACACTTGCGTGAGCTCCTGAAAAAAGGATGTGGAATGTATTTTCCACTGCTCACATAATGATTTAGGCTTTTATTTCAGAGCCTTCTAATGAAACAAAAATACATGTAATTAAGTTTGGAATCTTAATAAGTACTCAAGCTTTTATTGACAGACTCATGACAAATTCTTGTCTGGAGGAGGGAGAACTCAGGACACTGGGATGTACTCTACCCAGGCAGAGTCCAAACCCAGAGCTGAGGGTGTAGTAACTCATGTACGTGTGAATTTAGAGTTTACCTGCAAGAAACAGCGAGTAAGGGTAGAAATACAGGGTTTGGGTTACTGCTCAAAAGGTATCCTCAGAGATGCTATGACACAGTGAATAATAACAAACTCACATTGTCTCACTGTTTCTGCCAAGTGCCCAGTGCACGGGGGCTGGAGGTGCACAAGCTCAGCAGACACAAGCTGGAGCTTCCTCCCCTCCCTGAGGTACCAGAACGCCTCCAGCTCTGTGATCACTGTGAACTGTAAAGCGCTTCCTGGCCTTGCTTTATACCCAGAGATTCCAGGACTGGTTGGTTGTACTCCCTTGTTTAACTACAGACATCTAGAGAACTGTTCAGCACACCGAGACACTGCTTTATATTCCCCCAGGCCTTGCCCTGCACCTTAGTTACGAGGATAAAGGAGGTTACAGGGATCAGGAGCGAGGAAGGTCAGAAGAACACCTAAATACCCAGCTCGAGATAGGACTGGATATGCTACCACAGCTCACCACTCATGCTGTCAAAGATGGTGCATTTCTTCCTGCACAGTTACTGCAATTTTGGATTTGTAACACTAAAGACTGACAGCTAAGAAAGCTGGGGAGAGGCTCTTTGTCAGGGGGGTAGGGATAGGAGGAGGGGGAATGGTTTTAAGAGATTTAGATGACATACAAGGAAGAAATTCTTCATGATGAGACTGGTGAAACACTGGAGCAGGTTGCCCAGAGCAGCTGTGGCTGTCCCCTCCCTGGAAGGGTTCAAGGCCAGGTTGGACGGGGCTTTGGGCAACCTGGGCTGGGGGAAGGTGGCCCTGCCCGGGGCAGGGGGTGGCACTGGGTGAACTTTGAGGTCTATTCCAACCCAAACCATTCTGTGACTATTCTATGATTCATGGCTACTCATGTGCACAGATGCAAGCCAGAGCATTTGTATCTTTATTATCTGTTAGTGTTAGTAAGAGACATTGTCTGACTAACATTGCAAGGAAAAACATATCTGATGGGATTCATATGATGGCAAAAATCGATGCTCTCAAAAGAAGAGGAAGGAATATTAAATACTAAATTTCATTACAGTAACTTCAGTACAGAATACAGAATTCGAAAACAAAAAGCAACACCTTAGAGATGTTACAGGAAGCAAGACAGAGGCATGGAGGGAGGCAGGGAGGAGAGAAAGAGGTATGAATGGAAAGGGGAAAAAAAAAAAAGTAATTTGATTAAATTCATTTGGACATATTATAAACTAACAAAAACAGAAATGAGGAAACTTAGAGTCGTCTACCGGAAAGCAGCAGTCATTGAAAGTGTATTCTGAGAATCAAGCATCTAAGATAGAAAAAAAAATGCAAACAAACCCCCAGAACAGAACGGAAGGCCAGGTCCAAAATTTCAGAACGTCACAGAGCACACTGATCCAAACAGACAAGGAAAAAAGTGAAGCAGTTTCAAAAAAAATTGTTACTGATGTCAGCATTCCAAAAGCAACAACTGGATCAAGAAGCTGACGCTTCCTAAAACATCCGAAGGATTCAGAATACTTTGCTTCATAATCTCATGCTGCTGTATGACATATTTTTGTTCTCCCTTTCAGTCAAGATGAAGAAGAATGAGACACAGATGCATGTAATTGAAGGTTTTAAACTTCACATGGATGCCTCAGAGTTTGTCGTCCTTGGCAACAGTCTGGGTATCAGAACTTTTACCCGTAAGCTCCGTAAACATGTTGCATCTAACCATGCAGGAGGTAATGTTAGCACTGCCCTCAGAGATGGTTTCCAGAACAAATTATCTGACTACAAAAATCGTAAGACACAGTAGCACCAGGAATGATTTTACTATCACTGTTTTGCTAAGCTGTTAGAAGAGTTTATATCAAATTAATAATGGTAACTTACAGAATGCTTTTTCTTAAAGAAATGTTATGGTATAGTTGTTCGAAAGAGGACTTTTCCAGAAGATACACAAACATACAAAACAATAAAGAAGCACTTGAACAAATTAGGAAATCAATCAATAGGGTATTACTTGTTTTCATTCACAGGTTCAACAGATACTTTTTCTCTGAGCTGTTGGCACTTACCAGAACATCGCTTTTTCCAGGATTTGAAGTGTTCTATTACAATTTCCTCCAATTTCCTTAATTTTGGATGGCTGTAGATAAATTCCTTTTTATTTTCAAACACTGAAAATGAAATAAAGGAATTTAAGGATGTTATTTTAAAGATGTATGTAAACCTGCAACACTATGAGGGTTTAGTGAAATTAATTTCCTCCCGTTATGATTCTTTGAGCCAGACATACAAATTCCTGATGCTAGTTCTAACTGCAGTCACCTAAACAAATTAGGAAGCTATACACAGAACATTTGTTAATGTAATGTAATTACATACATACATTTGTTAAACTCAGTTCTTGAGAAAGCACTGCTACTTTTGTTATGGTCACACTGTGAAAGATAGACAGTCAAACAGTAATATTTTAATCTTTTGATTTAAATTCAATTAAAAACTTCCAACATAGAAAACTTGTTTGAAGGTTGATAAAACCACCGAGAGCAGATAGATAGATAGTTAGATAAGAGCCTGGGGAAAACAATCTGGAATAAAGAATACTAGCTGAGTGTATCATAACGAGTAGCTTCCCACATCTACAAACTATGTAGAGGTGTCTACTGTTTCATTTAAACAGAAAGTAAACTTTCTATCCCTCAAAGGGAAATACTGACCTGTATTACTCTTGTAAACGTTCCCATTCACTGAAGCCAGAGATGCGTCTGAAAACATGTCTCTAAGCTGCTCATACAGCTTCATGAAGTCCTCGTTACGACCAAGTTCATTCTTCGTACGGATTAACCCTTTGTAAAGAGTTGAAATACCTTAGTATTAATCTCCAGAGGGAATATAATCTTTGCTATCCAAAACACAAGCTTCCTCAGAAGTAGCAAGCTCCTTCTAAGAGCTAAAAGAACTTTCAAGAGCTAAAAGCTTTAGAAAATGTAATAAACATTGTTTGGCATCACTATTTTTTCAGGGAAGGTGCCACTATAGAATTTAAACATGAAAAACATATGTATAGACAGAAGTCTGGTCCTGCAGGTAAACAAGTTTTATGACTTTTAGCACTAGAAAACACATCCAATGCAGAAATAATGAGGGGGGTGAGGCCCTGGCACAGGCTGCCCAGAGAAGCTGTGGCTGCCCCCTCCCTGGAAGGGCTCAAGGCCAGGTTGGACGGGGCTTTGGGCAACCTGGGCTGGGGGAAGGTGGCCCTGCCTGGGGCTGGGGGTGGCACTGGATGGGCTCTGAGGACCCTTCCAGCCCAAACCACAGTGAGATTCTGTGTTTCTATGAAATGCATGAGAAGGGAATTTAAGATAAAAAGCTAAAACTAAGAAGCTTCTTTGATGATTTTATGCTAATGTTGAAAAGAATTTCATTCTATTCAAACCAGAACCCAATCTCACCAGAACTCTGTTCAGCAGACCCATTTATTGGAACTATTTCCCATCAGTCACCTTTCAATAGCCAACAGGGATTTAAGGAATGCTGAGAAACTAGGAAATACATGAAATGTTCTCCAGTGCCAAGGTCTAAAAGCAGCACTACACCATCAGAAATGTAAAAATCTGCCCGTACAAAAGTAATAAATTGTAAAAACGACAAAAGCATAAAATTCTTAGCACATGCATACTATCAAAATATATTCTATAGATATTCTGTAATGTGAAGCAAGCACTGCATGCTTTTGGTTCCAAGGCAGGAGGAAGAAGTGTCTTTTAACAAAGCAGTGCTGTAGGCAAAGCAGCTTCTATAAATTACCACAGTTACACAGTAAAGTGTAAATCAAAATGAAGCAAGAAACCCAAGAGCCACACCATGGGGTGCTCTGAACAGCCAGAACCCTCCCCTCCCACAGCCAGTGTTTAAAAAAAAACCACCTTGCAGTTGGACTGACATTGCCCTGTTGAACTTTGTCCCCTCAAAAAAGATGTCAGTACCAAATCAGATCTTGCAGGTAGCAGTGACAACCCGTCAAGTCTATAAGTGACTGTGGAGAGTTGGAAAAGACTCACAATAGTCAGTGATAGAATTAGGAAAATAAACTGAGGCCAGAACAGAAAATATTCTTGTGTCATTGTATGAATTCATGCTGTATCTGCATCTGGAGTAGCGTGCACAGTTCTTAACATCTCATTTGAGAAAAGGAGAAGAGGTGCAGAGAAGGACAGTAACAACTTTATATTTTGCTTGGTGAGCATGGAGGATGTCACACAACTGGGATAGAAATTCTCACGTGATGTGTCTAAATCTGTAATCTTCTGGCAAACACGCTTGAAACTCATGCACAGAGGATTCTGCTATAGGGGAGGAATCGCTTTAAAAGACCAAACGATTTCTCAGTTTAAATTGTTTATTGGTTATTCTCTGTCTCCCCAGAGATATAGCTGCCACTTACTCTGAGTTCTGTTTGTGCGTTATTTGTTTCGGAACTGCTGCCATATAAACCCCTCTGCTTTCCCAAATACAGACTATCTTTAACACTGCTAACAGATTCCCAGTAGGGACGAAAGGGAACAAAATACTGATTACATCTGCAAGCCACCCATTATATAAGGTGCTTTGTGCAAAACCAGCCAAACAGATGAGGTAAATCAAATGAGAAGGAGCCAAGACAAAAGGAAGGACGTTTCTGAAGACACTTTACCTTTTGATCCATCCATAATTCCACAAAGGTAGATAAATAATGACCGTATTCCCATTTGCAGCAGCAGCTCATAACCATGATATAAACTGATACAAAGTGCAAAATCTCCTTCAATTATGCCTTGATGTATTCCCTGTGGAAACAAAACAGCCCTCGTTACATGAGGAAGTCGGTAAGCAGCAGGAATCATGCTGCAATTCTTCTGACAAAACCAAGATTGACATCTGAGAAACAGAGCCAAAGCACAAACCAATGCGCAGCGAGTAGCCCGCCCCTCAAAACCTTCAGGAAACAGGTTACACAGTTCCTAAGGATCAGTGAAGGCAATCTTTTTCCACCTCCGAAACACCTGTATTATCTTCCCAGATTAGCTCATTACTTTCGATGCAGCAACGCTCAAAACCTGACAGCTGAGCCATCCATCACTATGTGGCAAAACAGGAGATTTCTGGCATGTCTACCCAGGCTACAAAACCTAAGTCCAGGAAGCTGGCTTGCCTCCTCTGAAGTCTGTTTCCCAATGTCCTTTTTACGGTTTTTTTTTTTTTTTTTTTTTTTTTTTTTTTTTTTTTTGTTGTTGTTGTTGTTGGTAATATGCTTTTTTAAGTTTGCAAAATGTAAACACTCCATGACAATTTACAGTAAAATAGGAGCTGTAATGTCATTTTGAGGGGAATGTGTAAACTTGGCAGCCAGTAATCACAATCTAAGTTTCAGCTTGGAAATGGAGTCATTCATCTTATCCTTAACTTTCCCATATTCGCATCAAGAATCAGGGAACAAGTAGGCATAATTTATTCCAGAGCTAAAACCAGAATGTTATAAAGGAAATCTAACTTAAAACGTATCAGGAAACTCGGTACTATTTATTTATTAATTTAATAATGTGAAATAAATAAAGACATTTACCGCATTTTGTGAAGAAGGGTTTTTTCTGTACTGATCCCTTGCCAGAATTATCTGGTACTTTGTAAGGCTGGGAATATCCCGTTTTGCTAAAACTCCTATTTTAATCAGGCGTCCAGCAAATGTTTCTAGCACCTGCAAAGAAAACATAGAAGCATACAGAAGATGTGAAGGTATGTGTATTTAGTCCTTAGAAGTAGTTTTATTTTTACAGATCTTACACAGCAGAACTCAAGCAGCTCATTTATTTTATTGAAACATTTGACTTTTTCAAAACACACTGTACTGATTTCTGAATAACTTGTTAATGGACCAGATGACAACCTGGTGCTCTGCCTCACCATAAGGTTCTCCATTATCAGGGTGTTTCTAGGCTAATTTACACATTTTTTTCTAAGACCAGTAGAACACGTAAGGATTTGTGCCCTCCATCCTACAGAAAAACACCCTCCTGCCCCCAAGAGAACCCCGTATCCATCAAATGTCTGAGAAGGGGAAACACACCCCGTGGTTTTGTGATTGCACGAGTACTGAGTGAGCAGGGAGGAACCAGAATACGTAACCAGCTACCGAGCTCACCTTGCAGCTACCTCTTACTGCTAACCCTGACTTCAACGGCATTTCAGTCTCAGGAACACCTGTCTTCACCTCTGAGGAGTTTAAATTACTGCAGGCGAGGACTAGCCAAGGGGTCAGAGAGCTGTTGTGGAAGGGATGGGGGTCGGAGAGGAACGAGTTTCTGGCAGATGGGCCCAGCACAACCATGTGCCCCCTTTCCTTTGGAAGCCACGCCAAAAAAACCACTTCTTTTTCTACATCACATGTACCTGCTTTCCACATCGGTGAAACAAGGGAACTGACCTGCACTAATTCATCTTAATCCTGTTTTTCCTCTTTGTTTCTCAGCCTTAGGTGGTCAGGGTTGGTTTTTTTCATAGACTTAGTTTTGCATGAGCGCTAACTCTGTAATAATTGGAGTAATCAGATTTGGTTTACAAAAATTACTTACAATCTGTTGGCCCACTTGGCTAGTGGCACCAGAACCACCTTGGTGCACGGTAACAAGCTTCTCCAAAGGCAGGCCTGACTTTGGTTGACATATAGCCCCCAATAGCTGCTTACACGCCCACGGTGTTTCCCAAGTTTTCTTGCACTAAGGCAGCTACAGCACAACAAGTACCTAATCCCTTTTTTGCTGTTCTTTCAGCCCCCTGCAAACTGAGTCCAGCCGAACCAACAAAACCAGGTCTGACTTTCAGGCTGCAAACACCACTGAAGTATGAAAATGCCCTAACAGGAGAAGAGAGTCAGCTGTAAAAGTGCAGTGCGTGTCTGCACACTAAGCAATGACACTCTGTTTGTTCTCTTCACCCATTCAGTGTATGCTGCCTTTTCAGAACCTGTTAGGAAGCACAAATATTAACAACCACACTCTACTCGTACCCTGTCAGTGCACTGGCAGCTCAGTTTAACTTCTCTCTGCTTGATCATTTTTATAGCTTGGTATTCCTTTAGCTTCTTACTCCATGGACAGTGCCTGTGTGGCACCATGTGCCAAATCCTGAGAAAAGGGGTGGGAATAATTGCCATCATCAACTACAGCAGCATTAAACCCCCAAAGAATCAAAAAAACAATGAGAATTTCGGAGGGTGAAGGAAAACTTGTGAAAGCACCAGCCAAATTGGGGAAACAACTTGCTGGGGACTTTCCACGCTGCCTGCTGTGGGCCTTTCGGGACCAGCTAGCTGGAGTCAGCAGGGTGAGCTGACTGTAACAGGGAAAGGCTGCTGAGAAATAATAGAAACGAAGCCCAAACTCTGAATGCTCTGGTCCACCTTCAGTCGCTCCTCTTCCCTCCGGTTGGCCTTCAGACCGGGGTAGCAGGTCTGGGGCAGCTTGGTGGTTTTGCTCAGAGGAAGCCAGCTGGGCTCCCCGGCTCCAGGCTGGAGGGCGGCGGGGATGCCCCTGGGAGAGCCCTGCAGGCAGGGGGGTGCTGGGGAGCCCTGCCTGCTGCCCCTCTCCCCGAGGAGCCGTGTCAGATTAGCTGCATCCAAGAGCCCCCGGGCACCTCTGAGCCCCATCTTCAGGCTTCCCTGTACCTACAGGGAGCCCAGGTCACGGCCTGGCACAGCTCCCCAGGCTACCCAAAGCCCAGTCAAGAGACTCCTCCCTCAAACATGCCTTCTAATTAAGACTAAAGGATTAATTAGACCAAAGAAATCACTAATAACAAGCAAACACCAACTGGAAACTAAAATATTGCTAGGAATTTCTGGAGGAAAGAAAAGAGAAAAAAAAGACAGGAAATCAAATGATCATATCAAAACCATTCACCAACCACTCAGAAGTCTAAAAGCACAAGAGATTAATTGTTTGTATTTGGTTCAGTTAGGAGTTTAAAATGCAAAACTCTGTATTTTAGCAGTTTGCTATTGTTACGTTGTTTTCAAGTCTGGCCTGTATCTGACAAAGGACAGAGATGGAAACATCTGTGCCAGCTTATTAAAAAAAGTATTTAAAAAAATATAAATGTTGACCATGCAAGGAATCTCTTAGTGATGTTTATTTTAATGGGATACCACTGAAACAGCACTTTCCCTTCCCATCAAACCCTGAACAGTTGGACATGAGGACACTTAAAAGGCTGAAGATCGAGCTTAAACTATGTCTCAGGTAGTGGAAATGGAGGCAATCTCTGAACACAAATATGTTTCTCTAGATAATAAATTAATGTTTCCATTAAAAAGTAATGCCCATGGAAGTATAATATTTCAGCACTGGTTCATTATTTCCTATACTTGTTGCATAGCCTTTTTTAAAAAGAAATTTCCATTACATGTACTTTTATGTTTAATCCCTTGACCTAGTTTATAACATGTAAGAAAATTATATTGTCACTGTTTGCTCAATGTATACCCCTGTCCGATTTAATCATCTTCTGCAAAACAAACCAAGGAAGACTATTATGAAAGACAGCAGGATCCAGTCACCTGGAGCTTCAAAAGCAATAAGGAACGGTAAACATAACCTACTTAGAAGAGTTACAGAAACAAGAACTACTCAGTTATTACATTTATCTTGCCTCCATACCTGTATTTTCAATTAAAAAGATAATACTTCTGGGAAATCTTATCAATCTTTCCAAAACATTTAAGTGTTAAGTTACCCATTTAAAAAACAGACTGTAGAATTAGTTTAAATTAATTGCTTACTAGGCCTCATGGCTTTTTCTAGTTCAATAAATATGAGTTCAAGAACTTGACGGATTTGCTACCAATCCATAAAAGAGAACTGGTAAAGTTATCCCTTAGTGCACTGAACTTGCCAAGAACATAAAGGTTTTTGCTGAAAGAGGTGTCTCTTGCAGCAAATCACGGTGATTTTTCGAAACTCGTACCCAAGATGAGCTTAGGACCTGCTTCTGGAGGGAGGTACAACATTAGCTGAGGGCCACCACATGGAGCACAAGCAAAGAACTATTATTGTTTCAGCTACACCTCACCAAAACCTGCTGTTTATCTATTTCCACTTGGCACAGTAAAAAACAAAGGCTCTAAACAAATGACCCAGCCTAACTATTTGACTGCAGATTTGCAAGTGTTGTTTACCAAAGAAAAACAAGAAATCTGTGATGTAGAAATAACTGTTTGTATTGCACTTCTTCCAGAGCAGCAAATGAGGGGTTAGAGAGAAACCAGCCACCGAGTAGGCCGTGTCTTCACCAAACAAAGCCTGAGAAGGTCCACTTGTAGCCCCAGGAAAGACCCAGTGCCAGGGGGCTCCCCCCAGTGCTCCCACCGCGGCCCACAGACCCCGCTGGGTTCGTGGAGCCACGCTGCACTGAGAGCTGCCACCTCCCTTCACCTCCCCTGGCTCGCCCCTCCAGCACTGCCAGGGCCCAACATGCCACAGACCGCTCCCAAACAGGCTGGGGCAGGCGCAGGATTGACGGGCAAGAAAGTGAGACCGGGCAGTGTGTCGGCGAGGTGCCATCACAGCCACGGCGGTGCAGGGACGCTGCGGGGCCCCACCGACACGCTGCTCTGCCTTCACAGGGACTGCTCCAACCTGGGAGGGGAAGGGACGTGAGCAGCCCCACGCTCTCGGGGTGGCCATGTGCCACGGGGACATCACGCTGCTGCCGCTCTCTGCTCCGGGTTGGCACATTGTCAACGAAGGCAGGGAAGGACGACAAGAAAGGGAAAGGGAAGACTTCTTCCCAGCTCTGCCCCTGCCACCCCCAGCTGCAAAGCCAGCTCAGAAGGTGTATTTCTCACCAGTCCTCACAATCGGGTTGTGATCACATTGTGCTGGGGGAGAGCGAACTGACTGTGCAGGAAGGCACGAAGCCAGCCGCGGCCTTCTGCAGCTCTGGGGAAGGGCAGCCCCAGGGAAGGATCCAGAGCACGCACTGCTCTCTCCTAGGCTGTGACCAGAAAGGTTTGGGTCTCACAAAGTGTGCTGCCTGCAGAAGCACCAGTGCAAGAGCCTAACAGTCCTCAAAGTGACTGCCAGGAGGAAATCCCAGGAGCAAACCACGTTCAGTGTCTGCCAACCCCAACTCCAGGTTGAGTGAGGGAGTCTTGGGACTCCACCAAAAAAAGAGCGAGCCCAGGGTGGCAGAGCCCAGGGCAGTCAGGGAGCCCGCCAGCCCCATGACAACGGGCTCAGCACCTCACAGATGTCCTTCCCCCACCGTGCAGAGACTGCTCTGCCACAGGGTGCATAAAGCTTATGTACAGAGTGAGAACAGTTTATTGTAACATTTGATGAAGCCTCTCAATTCATAGTATAGTACATCAGAGAAGAGAAGGAGGACGATTATTAACAGAAACAAAAATGTGGTTTTACGACAGAGAAGGCACCTGAGAAAGGCATTTGGAGCTGTGACTAGTGCTCCCTTTAGTTATTTTCCCTGTACAGTCACAACAAAGACAAACAAACTCTAAACAAAAGGGAGAACAGTGCTATTTTATGCAAGCTTTCTACTGACATTTTGTTACCTTTCCAATAATGAAAATAAAGCAACAGGGACACAGCAGGGTACGGTGTTTTTAAGCTGCTCTTATAATTCTCCAAAACCAATACTGATCAACCTAGTAACAATCCTGGCGCCTCTGAAAGTTTTGTTGCA